CGTGGGGCGTCGCCTCGCGGTGTGCGAGCTAGGAGGCCCCTCGGCCTTTTCCTCGGCCCTGCTCGCTCCTCCCCTTGGGCCGTTAGTTACCGAGCTGAGAGCTGCCAGGCCGGGAGGAGAGGTCGGCAGCCGGTGCCAGAGCGCGACCGTCTTCGTCTTGTGTTCCGTTGGGTGGTAACGGCCTGCCGCGGCCTCTGGGGCTGCTCGTGGGCTGCTGGGTTTGGGGATCACCCCGCACAGCCCGGGGTGGTAACCCTCGGGAGAAGGAAGAGGCTGCTCACTGCCAGGCTTTCAAATCGTTACCTTTGCGTGCTTTCTTTTCCGTCGGTGAACTTTAGCCGTGGGCAGTTTGAAGATAATGGTCGTTCTTCTGTGCTTCTGGATGTGTGACACTTGTATGAGTGTTAGTCCTCTGACCGAGCCCCTACGTCCGAAAACTGACAGTACAAATGTTACGGTGACTTACACCACTCCCTTTGTCTCTTTGCATGCTCCATGTCCACACGCTGTGAGGTGCATATACTCATATTTCTGTCTGCAGGATATGTAAAAGAGATATACTAACATGAAACCTATGCCTTGTCTCAACATCTCTGATTTTTTAAGTCAATACAAAAGGGAAGTGATTTCTTAGAAGAGTTTTGGTTGTGGACTGCGGAACTGTTTGTGACAAGCAGCCAACTGTATGCCCAGGTAAAACTGAACGAGATTCTAGTGAAAAAAAAGTTTGTCACGTGTATTTGAAGTTCTCTTGTCATGAAATAAACAGTGGAAAACATAGGTAGTATATGTAGACTAGCAGTTCTTGAGTATGGCTAGATTTACCAACTGTAGCTCCCATGCAAAACTTCAGTTTGATAGTAATTGCTGTCAGTTTGACTCAGTGTATGTGGCTAAAGCAAAAATTTTAATTCTGAGTTTGTTGCGTTTCACCTAGTAATTAACCATATCTCTAACACAGGACAGAAATTGAATTGATAATGCTCTATGCCATGTGTAGGAATGGATACCGAAATACTGTATGCTTAATTGTTATTGGAATTTGTATTTTGAACAGTGTTGTGGAGGCAGTGATAGTAGTTTGAATGAGATTGATGTCCTCGGTAATGGAGAAGTGATATAGATATTCTTAAAAAATTCCTGCACTTAGGCACGCAAAGATATTGTTAATTTTCACTGGATTCTCTACAGTGGTATCTGAGCAGTATCCAGGTTATGGAACTTTTTATAATAAAGGTTTTCATGTTTCTCTTTGATATTCCTGCCCTCTCCAAGGTGGTTACTTTGGCTATTGAAGGTTGCTAATGGTGGATTAGTAGAGGTAATGAGAGCTGTGCTACTACATTTCTCAAATTGTTTAAAATTTTATTTTTTTTTTTGTTTACATGATGTCCGTGAGAAGTCTGATCTCTTATTTGTTGCATAGTCATTTAAACTAGGAGTTGTTTCACTTAACTTTGACTGTTCAAAAGCTAGATATCTAGTCCAAAGCTGTGATTTTGTGAACATCTGAGCTCATGATGTGACAACTCTGCTCCTGCGAGGAGAAAGCCTTGCTCCTCCTCCTCTAGCCTATTTACTTGATTCTTTGTCCCTTTCTCTTTAGCCAGTACCAGCTGTTTACTTTCACTGATGATGTAGCTTGTCAGATTTTTCCACGAACTAGAAGGACTCCCTGATCTCCCCACCCCGCCCCAAACATTGAGTGTTTTCTGCTTAAGAGTGTTGGTTTCTGGAATTAAATTGGTTCACAGAAGGGTCTGATGAATGACAGATCTAGGAATGGGGATAAAGAAAGGAGGAGTGGAACCTTCCGTTCCTGGTGACAGGGAGGTCTTGTATCAGATTACCCCTTTTTCATCAGTTCATTGTCTAGTCTTACTGTAGACTCTTAAGCAGGGATGAGATGGTGTCTAAAGATCACTTACGTGAGGCTGTGCTTCCTTTGAGTGTCTCACTCTTTCAGACAAATAGTTTATCGTTTCACAAGACCTTGGCTGATTTGATTAGAAGGAAAGAAAGAAAGAAAAGAGCATGGAAAGAGGTTTAGAGTTCTGATAAAAGCTGGCAAGTGGATTAAACCATATATTATATGAAACAGCTGTTTGGCTTTCAACAGTTTCTGCTGAGAATGTTTCTGCTTGAACAAAACATAGCACAAGGCTAAATGCTAGTTGTGCTTTTTTAAATTGGTAGTTGCAAAATTATGTTCATTGCATCATCTAACTGTTTAAAACTGTTCAAATAGGATAAATTTATGTATTATAAGTGTGCCTGTGGTATAGAAAGCACAGTCAGCAGTGAGTTATATGTTGCCCAGGTGAAGTACCAGTACATGCTGAAATCATGTACTTTGGTTAAGCCAGGTAAGCTAGAAAGAAGCCTTGTTGTTATTAACAGCATACATCAAAAATAAAAATTGTAATATAAATGCAATTTTATTGATGTATTTATATTTTTTCTCTAAGTGCAAGCATTCTCACCATTTTAACTGCTTGTTGCAAACAAAAAGTTATTATTTTAACTTTATGTTATTGTAGTTTGTGTCACCAGGAATGCAAATCATAAGATTTGCCACTAGATGTCCCTGCAAGACAAAATAGTTTTATTTCCTTAACTAGGTACTCCTTAGGTTTTTGCAGTCTGAAACAATTCTTTTGTACCACAATTGTAAGCTACGTTTTTTTTCCTCTCTGTTATTTCCTTTTTTCTTTTTCATGACATCTTCACGTGGATGAATATATGGCCAGGTGTGTGTCTTCCTTTTTGTAATTTGTGCACTTTTTGATAGTATCAAAAGCTGGAAGGAGAGGATATACTTCCCACCTACAGCAGCTTGGAATTGAGAGTACAAAAGGTTGCATTTTCATTGATCTTTTCCTTTTGGTTGCTACGCTCTCAAAAGTGCAGTGGCTTTTTGGTGTCCTTGATTTTAAGTGTTATGCCACTTCAGAAATAAACTGCAGGATTCAGAACCAACTTTAAATCCTTTGTTCCTAATTCTCAGCTTTGGCTTATGGTTTGATAGTTACTCTCAGCTTTGGCTTACGGTTTGATAGTTACGTTTGGTATCTGTAGGTTATGAAAACAAAGACCTGAGGCAGAGAAAAGCACCATTGCCTGGTGGTTGTTGTTTTGTTTTCTTTTGTTTTGGTGTTTTGTTTTGTTAACAGCGATCACTATAACCCTGTTGGTATCCCTGAAAATTCTTAGGGATGGCTGCCTTGGATTTTCTCTGTGCACTGGAACTTTCTGTCCTCTCACGTGGTACCTTGTCCTAAGGATCTCTGACCAGTTCTCCTCATGCACCTCTTGGTTTAACAACTAAAAATGTCTTTACATTGAGTTTGAAAATTGCTGTTGTCCTTTGTTTCTCAACAACCACCAAAATTCAGGCATGAAATATGGATACTATATTGATTAGAAGGTTCTTCAGAACTTGTGCTGTAATGTTTGAAATTGGTTGTGCATATAGGACAGTCACTGAAGAGGATGTTCTTTATTATGATTTCTTTCCCCTTATTCTCTCAGCAAATTTGAGTAAAGCAGAATACAAAGTTTCTGTTATCACTTTGCCTGTACTAGAAATGTAACTCTATTTGTAGAGTTTTTTCTGACCTTTTCCCATCTTAGTGATGGAGGAAGTCAAAATGGGAAAGAAAACTTAAGTGTAAGACTTTCCTGACGTTGTTATATCTTTTAGTGGAATGGGAACTGGTGAGCAACATTTATTTTCCTATATGAAATATAGGTTTTCATCTTGCTTTTACTTCAGGGGTTTATAAAATCAAATGATAAATGTTTAAGATAGATCTATGAAAGATTTAAAGAGCAGAATGGTAAAAAACATTATATTGAATATGTGAAGAGGGTGAAGTATTTGCACTGATGGTGGAGATGTAACCATTTTCCTGTCTGAATTCTACTTTGTACAAAGCTACACTATGTAACTTCTGGATTATGCTTTGTACCCTGCAGCCTGGGAGTTCTTGGGCATCAGTGCAGCTGTGGCAAAAGGTAAAATGTCAGAGTAGTTGGTTTTGAAGGTTTGTAACTTCCCTAAAATTCAGTTACAGTCCTCCCTCTCCAAATTCTTCAGAAGTGTGAGTAACGATCAGATTAATACATCTTGCTTATAATATCATAAAGAACTAATGAAGTGTATTAGAATACTTCCTCATTTCTCAGCATCTGCCAAATTGCAGCTTTCTGAAATCAATCTGATATTATCACATTTAGCAAAATTCTTTCTGGAAAGGTCATAAGAAACCACAAGATAAACTTTGAAAATAAGGAAGTGACATGTGTCAGTGATAGACTTCAGGGCTGAACTTTGGGCAAGTGTCTTCCAGACTGTCCCTGAAACCTTAACTCTCCTTCAGAGAGGGCTTAATAGGAATTCAACAGTGAAAATTATCTGTTCTTCTTCCAGCTGAAATGATAGTGTACTGAGCAGTACAACTTGTTGGGATGGTATGACAAACTGACTGCCTTTAGTAGTAAAACCTGTGTGTGCCCTATGTCTGCAGCCTCTGCTTGAACTCTGAGTAACAGGACATAATTAGGGCATTACTAGCATTATAGTTTGATTTTCAGTGTACAGCATAAGTAAATCTAACATGTCGTGTAATCTGTCAGACAGAAGTGTTTGTGCTTATTTTTTTATTGACTCATATAATCTCCATGTTTAAGTTTATTCTCTGCCCCTAGAAGGGCTATTGCTTCTCAGGGCAGGCAGAATGAGCAAAGAGTTGCCCCTTCAGTAGAGGTTTCTAACTTGAATTACAGCAGGGCCAGGATTCTTCTATGCTGAAAGCAAAAGCAGCATGTGAAATCTTTGAACTATGAAAGTACTTGATTGCTAATTATATGTCCTTGTATTTGTTCAGGTGACTCGATCTTCTGGGATGTCAGCAGAAGAAGTGGATGGTGTTGTAGATTAGTTAGAAGTTAGTTTTTGTTTTGTCCTCTCCACACTCGTTGTGAACAGTCCTCATAAAATGGATGCTTCGGGCGGTCTCCCTCCTCCTGTGGTTGGAAATGGTGATACGGCTAATTCAGAACAACTACAAAAACTTCTGATTGATGAAAAGATGCGATCTGAACACCATAGAGTAAATTATCGGATTCTAAAGGCAGAACATCAAAGGTACACTAATTTAAACAAATTTCTTCGTTTGAGCTGTTAACAGTGAAGCTAATTGTTAGGTAGAAGGGATTTGCATGTGTGAGTTAGCTCTTTCTGTATTTAAGCTCTGTGTGTGTTGGCTATTTCTGTATTTAAGGATAGATTTCAGCATTTTTCGTATTAGAAAATAAACAATTCAAAATACCTTAAGGCATTGCAGATTATGTTTTTGCAATACTTTTATGCTTGTAAATATGGAATAACTTTTCAGTTAAATACAGGAAGAAGAAATTAATAGTTCAGTTCTAATTTGGTAGTGGCATTGTTTGCTTCTGCATGTGAGTTTTTTGAGCTCTAAGATGTAATTTTAGAGGCTAAATGTAAATATGTATTTTATCTTGCAGATTACAAGAGGAATATACAAAATCACAAGATGAATTGAAGCAATTGTTAGCTGAAAAGCAGACTGTACATGAAAAAATTCAGTTACTTCTTGCTGAATATCAAGAGGAGTTGCTGGGTAAAACACAAGAGCTGGAAAAACTGAAGATGCAAGTGAGATAATTTACTGGCAGGTCTTAATATGAGTTGTAATACTGTAACAGAGCCACGCATGTATTTCTGTTCATATAACGTGTATGTACTTAGCCTGAATTTATTTCAGGTATCTGAAAATGACCCAGTGCGAGTAATGGTTCTTCCCTGGAGTGACTATGGGTTAAAATTATTGTTTTCTTGTTTAACTGAATCTTAGAAATCCTGCTATTATGTGCTATGTTAACAGTAAGACCCTCAGTCTCTGTGCATGCTCTCCTGTTATAGTGAGAATCATCTGTTAAGATAAGTGACTAGATATTTGTTTCTCTTTGTGATGACAGCTTTCTTCCTCTTAAAACCTAACCAACCAAACAAAAAACCACCACAACACAAAACCAAACAAAACCCCCCAACATTTAAGGTAACTTGGATGAAACATTTTATGACTGCTTGTTTTCTTAAACGGATGCAGGACATGTTCTTAGGAAACAAATGTAGCATCTAACAAAGGACCACAGACTCCAAATGGAGGAGTTGTGCCTCAGTACCATAACTAGAATTAGCTTTCAGGGACTTAAGGGTACAGGTAAGTGGAAGAACAGTAGAATAAATTAGAATGTCACAGGTTGTGGATGCATTTTTTAACACTTTTTCTTGGTAGCTAGTTTGCTGTATTAACCATACCCAAGGAAACAAAATACCATGGAGCATGGAGCTTAAAGCAGGGAATCTCTCCTGTTCTCAGTTTTATTTGAAATCAGTACCCATGTATCTGTTGGAGAATATGTATCGAATGTGTATTACGAAAAATTGGTTTAGCATTGCTCATTTTGATTCTTTGGCGTTGGTTCACTTACTATTTAAGTTTTGCCAAATGCTGATATTTTATCTTTTATGTGAGACCACTTTTGCTTCCGCGCCTCCTCCACAAAGGAGATAAATCTCTTGGCAATTCAGCTTGACATTTGTATTGCTGCTACCAGTAAATACTGACATTTTAAATGCTTCTGTTATCTTCCTAGAATATTTTTAGTTCACTAATATCATGGGCTTTTTGCTTTTGTAACTACTACAGAAAATTCTTTAGAACAATATAGAAAATTAAGCAGGATTCTGATAATCGTATCTGAAATACTTTACTCCTATTTGTCCTATCAAATGAATGTGTAAATAAACGAATATGACTAGTTATTTGTGATATCCTTCTGTCTTAAGGTGCTAACTCCTCAAAAATTAGAACTGTTAAAAGCTGAATTGGAATCTCCTATGACAGAACGTTATCAGAAGCTAGAAAATGTAAGTAGTAAGTATTGAAATTCTGTTTCATTTAGAGTAGTGATCACCAGCTTATAGTTGTTCCTAAAACCGTAGGAAATTGAAACCGAAAGGGGAGCAAAGTATGAAATTCTTTGTCTGGTACTGTTGCCCCAGGCAGCGAAGGTTGAAACCCTGGAATAGGGAGAAGGAGGGCTTCAGTTCATCAGATGTAACTTGTGAAATGATAGGAACGTTGTGTTGACATTTGAAAGAAATAAATCCAAAAACTTCTCTGACTGATGTTTTTTGGTTTCTTTTTGTATAATTTAGGAAGTGGAAAAATACAGAACAGAATATAACAAACTTCGTTATGAACATACTTTTCTGAAATCAGAATTTGAACATCAAAAGGAAGAACATGCACGCATTCTAGAAGAGAAGAAAATAAAATATGAGGCTGAGGTACTTGGAATGTTGCAGTAGCTTAAAATGTATCTGAAGCTGCTTGAACATTGTGAAAATGTTGGTACTTGATGGGCAGTCAGTTTGACAGTGTTTCATAATATAGTGTTTGTTTCCATTCTCTTAATTCTCAATGCTGTTATGACTCAAAACGCTGTTAATTCTCAAAACGCTGTTATGACTTTAGCCTAGCGCTGTCTCTGTAGGTTTGTTCAGTGATGTGTCGCAATGTCATGTGTGCTGTTAAAAGTAAGAACAGGCTTGCCTTCTGATAAATGACAGCCAGTAGCTTTGCTTAATGCATTTTTTAATTGCGTTTGTGATGGCATTTGAGACACTATGCTAATCTGAAATGAATAAGTTATCTGACCCACCGATGTAAGTTTAGATTTTTAAATTACCTATGTGGCAACTAATCCAAGAAGAAGGCCGCATAGGATAATTATTAATACCAGACAAAGTTACATTTTGCCACTAAGTTGGATCATGACGGTGGTGGTGAAAAAAGGATACTGAACTTTATTTCAGCTGTTTTAACTCTTGAATAAAACATTCATGAATCTGCTGTTTCAGGATTGGACTTTCAAAAAGTGTAGCTAAATAAATTGCCAGCTTATTTATATTTTAAATATATGCAGGAGTGTAAATGAGTGTTGCATATGTCATTTGCATATTCATGTGAGTATTTGTCTGGGAGCATATATCCTAAGATGCCAGATTTGAATGTATTAGTCCAAACATGAAACACAAATCAAAGCAATCATCACTTTAAAAATCAATTCAAATTTGCAAATGCAAGGCATGAAAAACAGAACAGTTGTCCTTCCTGGAGCTATAAACCCACATGCTGCTTTACAGCCTGCCTCTCTTGTGGGCTTGTCGAGTTTGTGCTAGTCCTGTAGCTAATTAGTGCAATTACAGAGAACGAGACTACCTTGAGCCCAAAGCACAATGTGATCCAGTTGCTCTCTGGTAGAGGCTTTCTAACCTTCCGTGCCATTTAGTCCAAGGAGGCTACAGAAACATCCTAATTCTTAAGTGATGGCTTGTGCCTGTCATGCAACAAATGTTCAAATCTCCTGTAACAGATTCGGAGGGCTTTTGCTGCAGAAATTGGCTTTGCTCCATAGAGATCACTGATGCAACCTCTAAAAGCATTGCTGCAGATCAGACTTTTGACTAGTCTCCAAATATCAAAAGCACTCATGTATCTTACTTTCTCACCTTTTGCCCCTTATGTTATATTCAGTCCACGTAACTCGTTTTGAAGTACTAGAATCTAGAAGCGTAGAACAGTTTGGGTTGGAAGGGGCCTTAAGAATCACTTAGTTCCAACCCCCCTGCCACAGGCAGGGGAACCCCCCCCGCGGGCAGGGACACCCCTCAGCAGACCAGGTTGCTCAAAGCCCCATCCAGCCTGGCCTTGAACACTTCCAGGGAAGGGGCATCGACAGCTTCTCTGGGCAACCTGTGCCAGTGTCTCACCGCCCTCATAGCAAAGAACTTCTTTCTTATATCTAATCTAATTCCACCCTGCTCTAGTTTAAAACCATTGCCCCTCATCCTGTCTGCACATGCCCTTGTAAACAGTCCCTCCCCAATTTTCCACGTGAGGTCTCATGAGAGCAGAGCAGAGGGCCAGAATCGTGTCTCTTGATCTGCTGGGCCGGCTTCTTTTGATGAAGCCAGGGATACGGTTGGTTTTTTGTGCTGCCAGCACACACTGCCAGCTCATGTTGAGCATCTCATCGACCAGCACCCACAACTGCTTCTCTGCAGGGCTGCTCTCTATCCACTTGTTTCTCAGCCTATATTTGTGCTTGGCCCTGGAAATAACTGTTCTTGCTACTGCTGCAAGCTTCACTAGCATACACAGCATGTTCTCATCACCACAAGCACCAAGGAGCTTGGCCCAATGGAAAAAACTACTGAAACTAGCAAATCCAGTAGAGAAGTCTCAAGAAACATGTGGAAGCCCATAACCTCCAGAGCAGTGTCTGAGCATACTAGAAGCATAAAAAACCCAGAATCACTGGCATCTCTTGAGGACAGGCACCAGATCACAACGTCAAACCTGCTGAAAGCATGCAATATCCATCTCTAGAAATGATTCAGCACCTGAGTGCTGCATAGAAGTTCTTTTCCCTCAGGTTCTCAATGCTTTCTGCAGAGAAGCATCCATATTATCTGATAGCAAAGGAAGAAAGCTGTGTGAGCATAAGCTAACTTGCACTTATACAGTCTGAAGGCCTTTCATTGTTATACTCCTGCTCTGCTGCTGATATAGCAACAGAAAACTGACAGACTGTTTAGCAAAATAGCAAGAGGAGACGGGAGAAAAACTCAATTGCCATTCAGCTCAAACAATAGCTTTAGCACTAAAATTTGTCACAAAGCCCCAGTCATTGCCTCCATTTGATCACCTGACAAATTAGCATTCTGAGCTACATTTCTGGCCATCTGCTCCATTAGACTTTCCATCAACATATGGGGAAAAGTAAACCTCAACTTAGTGTATATTTATGTTTGCTAGTTACAGTCTTGAAACTAGTTTGTGCCTATTTTACTACCTTGTAACAGAAGGTTTTTTGGTTTTTTGCTTTATTTTTTGTCTGTCAAAACTCAGTCATGTTGGCTGTCTTGAGCTACTAGTAGATTTGAGTTCCATTGAGGAATCATAATACAAGTTGGAAGAGACTTTTTTCTACTCCAATGCCCTGCTTAAAATATCAGTGTAATAAGATTCCGTTGCTTGGGGCGATACCTGGTTGAGTCTTGAACATCTGTAAGGATGGAGATTCTAAAGCCTTTCTGGGCAAAGTATTCCAATATTTAACCATCTTCACAGTAAACTTTTTTCCTAATGGAAATTGGAACTTCACACGTTCCAACTTGTGTCACAGAATCACATAGAATTTAGGGGTTGGAAAGGACCTCTGAAGATCATCTAGTCCAACCCCCCTGCTAAAGCAGGATTACTTAGACTAGATCACACAGGAACATATCCAGATGGATTTTGAATGTCTGCAGAGACAAAGACTCTACAACCTCTCTGGGCAGCCTGTTCTAGTGCTCTGTTACCCTCACAGTAAAGAGGTATTTCCTTGTGTTTAGGTTAAACCTCCTGTTTTCAGGTTTGTCCCCGTTGTCCCTTGTCCTATCACTGGACACCACTGAGAAAAGTTTGACCTTATTCTCCTGACACCTGCCCTTTAGATGTTTATAAGCATTGATGAGATCCCACCTCAGCCTCCTCTTCTCCAGACAGTTCCAGATTTCTGCAGATTGTCGTTGTTCTTCATTTACTGGACACAAACTCCCGAGGCATGCTTAGAAGTACTGGAAGGGAGCAAAGGATCACTTCTCTGGATCTGCTAGATCTCCTTCTGCCAAGCTGCCAGGACTCAGTTGGTGATCTTTGCTGCAATACTACTCTGCTGACTAACGTTTGACTTGTTGTCCACTAGGATTCCCTGATCCTTTTCCATGGATCTGCTTTCTAGGCAGTTGCCCCTAGCCTGTACTGTTGCACTCCATCCCAGATGCATGACTTAGTCTTTTGTCAAGAGGTTCCATTCAGCCCATTCCTTCGGTCTGTCCACGTCTCTCTGAACAGCAGTTCTGTTTTCCAGCACGTTGACCATTTCTCCCAATTTAGTGTCACCTGCACGTTTGCTGAAAGTGTACCCCATCCCATCCTCCAGGTCACTGATGAGGACATCAGTTAGTATTGGACCCAGTACTGAACTCAGGAAGACTCTGACTACTTACAGGCAGACAGCTGGGCTTTGCATCAGTGATCATCATGCTTTGAGCCTAGCAGCCCAGCGAGTTTTCCACCCACTTTATTATCCACTTTTCCAGCCCAAAATCTCAGCAGTTGGGTGAGAGAGATGATGGGAGACTGTATCAAGAGGCCGTGTTAAAATCAACGTATACAAGATCCGCCGCCCTCTTCTTGCCTACAGTGTGTCACCTCTTTCTAGAAAACAAAGAAATAGGTCAGGTGTGATTTGCCCTTGGCAAGCTCTGCTTTCCATCACCTTGTCTTTCATGTGTTTAGACTTTAAAGAGGTTTTTGCTTCATAACATTCACAGAGATTGTTGTAAAGCTGACTGTCCTGTAGTTATCTGGATCCTTCTTCCTGACCTTTTGGCTCTTTTTGATGATGGGTGTGCTTTCTGCCTCTCTCTCTCATCATCAAGAATCTCCTCTTATCACTGTGGCTTTTCAAAGATGATAGAGAATAGCCTTGCGATGGTACCAGTGAGCTTCTTCAAAATGCTTGGATCCATTCCAAGGACTTGTACAGGTCCAGTGCATTAAATGATCCCTAACATTTTCTTTCTCTACTCTGGATACTGCTCTATGCCCACAGACTGTTAGGGGCGCAGGAACATATGAGGCCTGGGGACAAGCCTTATTATTGAAAACTGAAGCAAAAAAGGTGTTGAAGAATGGATCTGTTGATTTTCCTACTCTAAGAAAGCAAAAAAATATTAATGTTATTCCTTTATATTTTAAATGCACACTGCTGCTCTTTCCTGAATTGTCAACTGCTGTATTTGTCGCTGCCTGACACGTGTAAAAGCTTTTATTTTTCTGATTGACAACTATCAGATTGCAAGGCTGGATAAAGATAAAGAAGAACTCCATAATCAGCTGCTTAGTGTTGATCCCACGAGGGACAGTAAACGCGTGGAGGCACTCCTTAGAGAAAAGGCACAACTGTATCAGAAATTAAAAGGCTTGGAAGCAGAAGTAGCAGAACTAAGAGCAGAAAGAGACGATTGTGGTGTGCAAGCAGAAAATGTTCAAAGAGTACAAGTACGACAATTAGCTGAGATGCAGGCTCTGACACGGTCTCTAGAGGTAAGATTGGGGTTTTTTCTTTAAATTTTGCTTCCTTGTAGAGTGTGGTGAGAATAATGTGTGGCCTGATAGAACTGTCAGTGAGATCACTGATGATTTTCACATTGACTCCACAATTGAATTTATGTATTTCAGATTAAAAAAAAAAAAGTAAGTACATTAGAGACATGTACTGTCAATTCATGTACTGCTGGAAAGGTGGAGAGCTCAACTGAGAGATTCTGTTGACTGATCTCCTTTATAAACAAGCGAGTGATATCCATGTGTGTAGTCAATAAGAGGGTCATGTCAGCGCTTATCACTTGGCTGGAGTTAGAAACCGATGACAATATCATAGAATCGTAGAATCATAGAATGACCTAGGCTGGAAGGGACCTTAGAGATCATTTAATCCAACCTCCCTGTCATGGGCAGGGATGCCTCTCAACTAGATCAGGCAACACATGTGCAAATAATCTGCTACAGTAAATTTTTTACTCTTTTAAAAAATGTCATACAGTGCCTCTTTATTTCTTTAATCCTTTCCTTGTGTGTCATGCTCTTTCTTTGCTGCAATTGTTTGGCTCTTGGCTGTTGCTCTCATTTAAAGAACCTTTGGTATTTCTGTGCCGTTGTGTGTTCCACTGTATTCCTCATCTGTGGTCTTCAGTCCTGTCAGTTCTTGATCTCTCTCTAGGTAGTGAGTCTTCCCATGCAGATATCTCACACATTCGCAGCAGTTTCCTTCCTTTTTACTGTTATCAGTGCTGTATATCTCTGTCACAAAATGTGCTGATCATAGCTTAAAACTTCCTGCTGGAAATAGGTCAGGAAAGGTGGAGTAGGTCAGGAAAGGTGAAATAGGTCAGGAAAGGTTAGATTACCTTTTTGATACTTGACAAAGCTCAGGGTATTGAGTCTAAAACACTCAGTAAATGCATTTTATTTCCTCTCTATGATGTTGATTCTTCAGTTAGTGTAATTGCATAGGTCAATGTATGACATCTCTCTGAGCACCATTTTTAGTCATTTTACAGCCCAGTAATTTACTGATAGGAATACCTGTTGCCTCCTAACCAAGTCAGATTACCTCTGCCTCTTGTGAAGTAGCATTGAAAATGTGTGTAATTCTGTGAAGGCAGCATTAGTGAAAATGGTTGTGACTTTTGAATAAAATTCCCTTGTTGTATTGGAACATACTGCTGAGCAAAGATAAATATTTATATATTATATAGGATGATCAGTGGCCTGGAGCACCTCTCCTACAAGAACAAGCTGAGAGAGTTGAGGCTGTTCAGCCTGGAAAAGAGAAGGCTCCGAGCAGGCCTTTCAGTGGCCTTCCAGTACCTGAAGGGGGCTACAGGAAAGAAGAGGAGGGACACTTTATCAGGGAGTGTAGTGATAGGACAAGGGGTAATGGCTTTAAACCGAAAGAGGCTAGATTTAGATAAGATTTAAATAAGATAATCTTCACTATGAGGGTGGTGAGGCATGGCACAGGTTGCCCAGAGAAGTTGTGGCAGCCCCCTCCCTGGAAGTGTTCAAGGCCAGGCTGGGTGGGGCTTTGAGCAACCTGGTCTGGTGGGAGGTGTCCTTGCCTGTGGCAGATCGGGTTGGAACCAGATGATCTTGAAGGTACTTCCAACCCAAACCATGCTAGGATTCTGTGGTATTACTATATAGCATAAAGAAAGGGTCACTAATATCCCAAAGCCGAGTCAGTTGAACCTTTCATGTGAATAGCAAGAGAAAGCTCTGCTCCAAAAATCTTACAAACACCTCCTGTATTCAAGGCAGAAAAGAAGTCTGCTGAACTACAGGTAGATCGAATTGAGAAAGAAGTGCGGATGAGTCATGAGCAAAACATTCTCTTAACTGGCAAACTTCACAAAGCTGAACGAGAAGTCAGTTCGTTAGCTGCTAAGGTAAGTGCTTTTATGCTATCTGAAGTACATTTTTTCATATCCTGTTACGTTTAAGTTTTTCTGTTTATATTTTACTTTAAGAATAAAGTAAGAATGTCTTCTGCTGTGACTTAAAATAGGTTTGGAATTTTTTTCCTAGTTTCAGTTGGAAGATACAGAATATGTGACTTTAGAGAAAAAACATCATCCTGAAAAGCATCTTTAAAGATTGAGGTTATGCTCTTTTTACTTCATTTTTGAGATTTTTTTCTAATCACAACAGGGCTCAAAGAGGTATCCTTGTATTAATGGTTTTTTTATACTCATGAATAGCCAGCCTTATTTGATGGAAGCAAGCATTACTTTTTTCATAAAGTGTGTAAAGTGCAATAGAGCTTTAAATTGATTTTTTTTCATTTGTTTTTTTTTTTTTCTTTTAATGGAACTATGGCTTCTGGAGGTCCTCTGAATGGGCTGTGTTAGCTGCAGGAAGCAATCTGCATTGGAACCACTTGTGGAGATTTAGGTTCTATTAGAAGCAGGATAGATACATTGGTGTAGCGTTGGTCTTGGGCTAATGCCAGCATAGCTTGTAGAGAAACGCTTCTATCCCGCACTGCGTCATATACTTTTAAGTAGATCATAGTCTTGCAATGTGTTTTGAGTATCTTGGTTGTTGTGTTAGCACCAGAGGTTTTGTTCTATGTTTGTATGCTTTTTTTTTAATGAAAACAAAGATCAAAAGGCTTCAGGTTTAGGAAAAACCTGAAAGTACTTAAGAAACTCGTCATCACTCTTTAGTATTTCAGCATAATTAAGTTAGTATGGATACCAGTTTTGTCTGCAGTGATTCCTCAGCTACGTAGCTTCAAAGATAGATCCTTCATGCAATTTTATATGTGATTGTTTGACTAAACAAGAAACAACAAAACATTAGTAAGCCATTTTACCTTCAAATGTTGCAGAATACTTGCATTGATTTGTGTAAATTTGAATAGTCATAATGAAACAGTTACTTGGGTAAATATGAGCTTTCTGCTGTTGGTTATTCCCTCCTTTCCGGAGACAATACTGGGTAATAAATTTAATTCAAAACAGGCTTTACAGGGCACATTTATGAGCGTGAAGTATTCAATTCTCGTCTTTAATCTTTGCCAGTAAGAGTAGGATATACCTGTATCAGTATTCAAAGCCTCTTTATACCATGTGTCATACGTGTCTCGTGAATAATAAATAGGAGGGGAAAACTTATGATAAACATTTTTAATCAATGGTCTCTCAGAATATATAAAAGATTGTTACAGTTTCTACTTTTCTGTATCAGCTGGTGTTCACTGCTCACCTCCAAAAGTAGGAGAAAATTAAAATATTCAGTGGTGTTTCTTGAAGGGAGGAAAGTAGAAACTAATTTCTACACTGACCTCCACTCCCTTCTGCACCTACTCAAACTTATTCCTGAGCACAGATGCACACACTTGTCTTTTGGATTTTGTGCCTTAAAAAAGCCATCTTTGCAAGTTGCCCAAAGTGTTCTCAGCTTAGTATTCCTACTCAAACTTATTCCTGAGCACAGATGCACACACTTGTCTTTTGGATTTTGTGCCTTAAAAAAGCCACCTTAAATCTTTGCAAGTTGCCCAAAGTGTTCTCAACTTAGTATTTAAGCAACCACATCCACCGTGTAGTTACTTAATAAGCTGCTATGTCATTCTTAACCTTTTGCCACTTGTATATGCTAGCAGGTTGTAATTACATTTGTCATTGCGAGTGGATTTTCATTATAAGTGCTTTCCTCTAGATATTTAATTCTCATTGACCATGTAATTACTGCGTACAAATGCCTAAACTATAGAAAGTTTCCGTGCAAGCAGTAATTGTCTTTGATTTGATGTTCCCAAAGCTCCTGCTTTCATGAGGCCATTTGATGTGCGTGTGACAGTTGTAGAGAAGTATTTGATTAAAAATGCACTTTAAAACTGTGAAGACCTAGATTTTAGGAAAGAAGTGGAGCACTCCAGGAGGTCAGTAGTTACCAAATAGCAATTAGTTGGGGAGGAGTTGATAATCTGGTTTTGCGTATCAGTGTTTCATTTTACTTAGCTTAAATTTACCTTTATTTTAGCTTTATTTAGCTTTATTTATTTAGGATCATATGTCATTTGGATCAGTGTCATATCAAGGCATTTTCAGTGAGCAGTCTTTTCAGAAAAACCCCAATATTCAGGTGCTAGCTTGTAGAATGTATAGCATTGACTAGGAAACCATGTTTTCACAGGCAGTCCTGCACATCTGTGTGTATATCACCAAGGCTCCTTAAAAGAGTAACTTTTCCACACTGTAGCTTGCAAAAATTGGCTAGTTAAAGATGAAATACATGTCAGTAGCATGACAGCTTATTTGGCAAATTATCTTGTTAGAAACGTATCACAGGAAAAACGTACAATAAAGTTGCCTATATATATATTTATTTTAGTTGATTTTTTTTTCTAATTCATAGGTAGAAGAACTTAAGCATTCACATAAATTGGAAGTAACAAATATCAAGCTGGAGGCAGCAAGAACAAAGAGTGAGGTAGAAAGAGAGAGAAACAAGATTCAGAGTGAAATGGATGGTAAAACGTGCAATTAATTTCTACCTATTTCTTTTGTAACTTCTAGTTAGAACACTACAATTATGTTTCCTCCAAACATTCCCCAGCAGCTTTCACCTTCTACTTCTGGTCTAGGTCATAGATCTGACAGTTCATTTTGTATCTGAAATAACTATGTTGTTTCACTCGGTCTACTAGGTTCAGAAGAACAGTTACAGAATAATTTTGTATTTATGTAAATGAGTGAACTTGTGACAGAATTTGAGCATAATCTGTTTCAAATATGTACTTCCTAGGGTTTTTTTTTCTATTATTTACAAATTGTAGAGTCTTACACACTCTGCTTTAAATCTTAACAAGCCAGGGGTCTTCAGTGGTTGTTTTGTTTTCTGATTCTTTGTCTGTGGAATTGATTACAATTGGGTAACACTGCCATGTAAAAGAAAATACAATTTCTAGGTTCTTTGCTGTGAGAGTGATGAGACACTGGCACAGGTTGCCCAGAGAAGCTGTGGGTGCCTCCTCCCTGGAAGTGTTCAAGGCCAGGCTGGGTGGGGCTTTGAGCAGCCTGGGCTGCTGCGAGTTGTCCCTGCCAGTGGCAGGGAGGGTTGGAACAAGAAGATCTTGAAGGTCCCTTCCAACCCAAACCATGCTGTGATTTAAATCATGGCACAGACTGGAGTGGCCTGTCCTCACTGATTTGCCATATTCCCAAAATAATGCGTTCATCTTCCTGAAGTAATTGTTTCTGTTTGCTTGCTTTAATATTAAGTTCACTAAGAGCAACTAATAAATGATGTTTTCTGTATCAACAATGCGCTTATAGTGTATTGAGAACTAAAAATGTTGGACTCGATGAAATATGGAACTACACAGAGATGAGATTTAGGATGACCTGAACCAGCTTGCCTCATGGAATGAGCTGAGTAACCGGGCGTCATTGTAATGACATGTTGGCTTATTTGCCAGTGAACAGAGGTGCCTTGGTTGCAAGTTTTGTATTTACATCTTTTGTCCCTGTCATCATTGTAGAATTGCCTCATTTGGTTGTATGAGTGAATTAAAATGTAAGATTTGTTGTAGCCAGGTTACTATGGTTTCGCTGGTAGCCAGTAACTGTTTATGGTAAACTTTTCCATAAAAAGAAAATAACAAATTTTCTTGCTTGACCTTTTCGTAGCTATTGTGGAACATCTTTTTTGTATTTTATTTTTTTAAAATCCTGACAAAACTGTTTAGCAGAAATTGCTTTAGAGTTTCAATCTGCAATAATATCAACTGTTTAATTACTTTTGTATATTAATATAGTCATAGAATGTTTGGGGTTGGAAGGGACCTCTAGAGATCATCTAGTCCAACCCTTATAGACAGAGATTCCAGTGTAATGATTACTTTTCAAAAATTGTTGAAATGTTGCTGTTATACTTAAAAAGGCCATGTCTCATCTGATTTTCTTTTTTTATTTCCCCCATACATTCATTCTGTCATCTAAATTGTGATTTGTAGCTCCCTTTTATCAGTTTGTAAAATTATTTTGATGCTAGGTTTCATCAGGTGACAACAATAATAACATTTTAACTTTTTTTCAATGTGTAATGCAGGATTGCTGTCAGACAAGGAAATTCTTAAGGCAGCTGTTGAACGTCATAAGGTGCTTTTAGTAGAGAAGGATCGGGAGCTAATTCGTAAAGTACAAGCTGCCAAAGAGGAAGTTTTTGAAAAAATTGCAGCCTTACAGGATGAAAAGTATGTTCGTAGATTTTACTGCTCAACTTCTGAAAGAGGAGTTTTTTGAGTAACTTAAAAAATGTCATTCTTAGCAACTAAGTACTTCTGGCTTTTTGTCATGATTCTTGTGTGCCTGTTGAATCATGTCTCAGGTTGGAGCTCGAGAACAGATTAGCCGATCTAGAGAAGAAGAAACTGGAAGAAGACACTTGGAGACAATCTGAAAAGGATCAGTATGAAGAGAAGCTACGGGTCGCGCAGCTGGCAGAAGAGTCTAGCAAAAAGAAACTTCAGCATTTGCGGTAATGTGGCTTTTCTAGCTTTAACACCGATTCCTCACTTTTTCTTCTCTAATTTCTTTACAGCAGATATAGATATACAAATGTTCATGATGGTAAATGAAACAGTTTCTTTTGCGCTGTGTAAAAAGAGGGCAGAATTAAGAATGGGCTGTTTAAAGGTATATACGTTTTTCATTTAAACCTTTAAAAATATGATTTTAATGAACTTCTAACAAAGACATAATTTTGCAGTACTCCTGTCTGTTAAAATTGAGTCTCTGTCAGTTGCTGGCATAGCCCCAGTGTTAGAGTAAACCATTTCTCTTTCTACAATGGCACCAGAGCAGCAACTGGCAAACTGGGTCCCCTAATACAATATCTCTTCGAGTTGATTGTTACAGTTCTCAGTGAAATTGTTTTACAACAGAGTTTGTACGATGGTCACTATGATAGAATGAACAGAAGTCGTACTACAAAACCAAACAAATCAATGTATTTCTTTCTCCTATATGGATTAAAAGATATTTTTAATCATTGTTTAGTTAAATATTTATCAGCTTTTCAAATTATGGAGTGCATTCTGTTCACTGATTTGTCCTACATTCTAACATCTGTATTTTAATTAAATAAAAATAAGCTTGTCTTATACAATTTTAGATTAAAAATTCAACAGCAAACTATTCAGACAGAGGAGTTGGAAGAAAAGAGACAAGAAAGTGCTGATATGAAACAGGTACAGTTTTATTGCATTGTAATGTTTTACAGAAAAATACCATCTTTCCTGCAGTTACCATGTCCAGTGTTCGAAGATTGGATTGAATTTTTAAGGCTTTATTTTTCTTTTTTTTTCCTGAGGGACAAAATGCATACAACAGATATTTAAAAGCAAAAGTGTTCAGATACCAGTCATGCTTTCCTGGGCCTTTCTAAATGGATTACAGCTTCTTGCTTCATGTGGTTTGTGGGTACCAAAGATTTCAAAGCTGAATGTTCGTACAGTGATATACTGAATACGGTTACACACTATTTAACTGGAGATTCAGTTTCCATGGAGACTTATAAATTGTTTCTAGGTAATGCTTTGCATTTACACTGCATCTCTCATCTGAGGTTCTTCAAGTGCTTAACAGATGTTTCACAAATGAATAAACTAGTGTAAAGAGGTATATTTCTATTGCAGAGTGAATTGATGGCAGTGTTGAAAATAAAACCTGATTTTTTTAACTCCTGCTTGCCCATAGTGTTTTTTAGTAGGTACGACCATAGCTCTGCATCAAAGTAGTCTGCAAGCTGCGTGTGCTTGAAGGTCAAGGCAATATTTTTATTTCACTCCAGAAAACGGCAGTTGGGGTATCTGAGTGTCCGTGTGGGGAGAGGAAAAGGGAAGGGAAATCATCCTTTCTACGTGCTGGCTGCAGAGATCAGGCTCCTCAGACTCTGATGACTTGCTTTTGTGAACTGGCCAGTGCAGCTGCTGCTGGTTGTAACGTAGGGCTGGAAGTGTAGCCTGAGAGGGGAGTCTGGGCAGCCCCACACCTCTGCTGCCAGTTGGGGGGTGATCCTCTCGGTCTGTGCGGCCCTGGGGCTTAATGGTGGATTTCTTAAATTCTGAGGGGACACATCAATGGCTGAAGACTCCTACATTAGAAAGCCTTCTCTGCCTAATAGTGTTTTACTGTTGGGTGTGGAGAAAAGGAACAATTAAAGGCTTATGAAAAGTTGACACAGCCAGTTGATGTCTGCATTTTGCTCTATCTCAAGTATCTCAAAGTTAGTCATTACATTATTTGCATACCTTCTCAAATGGAAAACCTTCTTTTTTTTTACTAGCAAATTCACAACATGCAGCTCCAGCTTGCCTCACTTGCTCTATCAGAAAGTGATTTGCTGGAGTCCAATCAGAAGCTGAAGGAAGTAATAGAGAGATTGAAACACGAATGTCAACATGCAATGGCTCAGGCAGAAAAAGCTCAACTGGAATCAGAGAAGTAATTTATTTTCTTCCTTTTGACTTCTGCTTTTCACATTGCTTGTGTTCCTTTCACACGCATTACTTAATTAGGGATTGTACATTCTGAATAAAGTCGGAAATTAAAAATGAATGGGAAATATTGGACAGTTGTAAAAAATGGCTGTACCTTCTGCTACACAGTATGTATCCAACCTCCACTTGCAGTAATTTCAAAAATAGGAGCTTGTTTCCATTTGTGTCTGTTACAATTAATTATTGATTAGTGAAATACACTATTTGTGTAAAGCAAAATTCTGTTTATGCTGAAGTCAGGTACAAACTTCTACCAACTTAAGTGAATCTAGAGTTTCTCGCACAGTTCTTGTATGAGTATTAAAACAGGGAAGCTTGAAAAACCTTTAAGCATGGCATAAGGCTTCAGGGACCCAGTCTGTATATGCATTTTTCCCCCTCCCACTAGATCCTTTTAGTTCACACAAGGCAAACAAAAGCTTATTGGATATCTTTTAGTTACTCTCATCCAAGTTAAAAATAATCACTTCTCTTTTTTCCCCAAGCTTTACCCCACAGTATCAAAATATGCTAATAAATGCTGAAGGACACCAAATCTTGTTCAGGCTCCATGTAGCAATGAACACTGTCCTGAAAATTAAAGAATAATTTGTCAGTTACTCTGAAATGGCTGTTTACTATTTTCTAGCCTAATAACGAAATATCTGCCTAACTTGTACTGGATTATTGTGTGGTAGTTTTTTTAAAAAGTCGGCATCCCAGATTGAATAGAAAACTTCCAAAAGATATAATGTGGCATTTTTTGGTTTACCTTCTCTTTTGCTACTAATTGAAACTACAATTGCTTTGTTGTCGTGAGCTTAAGTATTGCTTTTCTGTTTAGCATTTGAAGAAATTATTGCATTGGGACGGCCGAGTACCTTCAGTTGTCCTTAATGTGTTAAATACTTTTTGGATGGTTACTTTAGGAAGGCATATTCATATTTCAAGTGAGACTGTCAATTCCATTTCTGTGTGATGGGCCACAGATCGGCTGGGAATAGGTTTTCCTTGGCAGGAGGTGGAAGGACCTGGGTAGCCCTCAGAGATCATAGTGTAAGCAGATAGATAATGGGAGATAACTGCAAGAGTTAAGTTGCACCAAAGCAACTTGGCTTAAAGAGGAAGTGAAATAAGGACGAAAGGATGAGAAAGTTTCAGGTAAAAGATAAAAAGGTTCAGATGAGCCGTGAGTAGGCAGAGCAGCTGCCTGCTTGGCTGTGTTAGTCTTGGGCTTGGAAATGAAAACGTATAATGAGAAAAAGGGCTGAAGGCAAACTACGAGGCTGATGCAGATCAGAGATGAGCTGAAACAGGCACTTGTTAAGCGTTTCAGGAACAGCGTTAGTGGCATTTAAAAAACCCCCACACTCATGGCATTTTTAACCACTGTCACAATTTAAATTCTTTAACTGTTAAGCAGTGCTTTTTGAGAAAGCTCTGTGGTTCCTGAGTAGCAGTAGTTATTTACAGTCGGCAGCAAGGTACAAACCACAGCGGGTCTCGAGTGGGCCAGGATCCTGGTTGTGATACGAGAGTGGATGGTTCTTGCTAATTTTGCTGTGGGGAAGGGAAAGGCTGTTGGGTTAGAAATTTGTGGAGATTCATTCAGAGTACCTGCAGGGAAACTGCATCAGCCCAGGGCTGGAGCGGTATCGGCTGCACTGATACTGAGCCTTGGACTGCATTTCTAAAAAAAATCATTGTGCAGAAACTCACCATTTACTTTATTTTTACAGTAATGTAGTTAAATATGCAGTTAGTTCTTGCCTGCTTTGACCCATGATGCAGGTAGCTCAAATAAACGAGGCAGCAGAGAGAAACTGTCTCCTTCCCTGTCCCCTGCTAGAGGGCACAGCCTGGTTTTAGTGTTTTAACCATGCAAAGGACGAACTGGGTAACTACAGGCTGAGGTGGTGTGGGTTACGCTGGGATGTTGTATAGGAGCCCTTTTGGTGGGAGCTTCCTGTTGTGTGGGTGTTTGTTCCAGTCGGAAGCAGGTACTAGTGAGGTCTGTACCGCTCCATTACAAAGGCATAGTAGACTGCTCAGGGCAGCAACCCATTCTCTTACATCTTACCTCCTGAACACAGAAAGTAGTTGTCAGCTCTTCTACTTTTGCGTTCCAGTGTGACTGCTAGGTCTGAATTTAGAAATGTTTTGTGGGTAGTCTGGCAGCATGCCAAACTGACAAGCAGCCAACAATTAATGAGCTTGTTGGAATCAGTTTCCAAGACTCACCTCATAGTTGAACAAAACTTAGGATAATATTAACACACAGGTTTGAATGCCCGTTAGTCATTATTAGATTGTTAGTGCAATCGAATTTAAATTGGATCCATCAAGTACATGAAGTTGTGAAAAGATGCATCTTTAAGGCATTAATTGAATGTACAGCTCTATAACCTCTTAATCTTTTAACCTGATTTTTCCCAAGGACTTTAGAATACAAACGTATAGAATGGCTGGAGGAGAGGCAGGTGCTTGCTCAGCGCATCACAGAGACAGAAGAGAAATACAACGAAATGAAGAACAAGCTACGTCGAGCTGCTGTTGCTCAGAAAAAGGCAGGTTGACTCTTCTTTTATGAATGATCCAGCTTATGGGAAGTTCAGCCTTACTTGGGCCAGCTAGAACTGCTTTACTATTCAGAGTTTATTTGCAGTCTTCTCTATATAATAACAAAATATATCATGTTCTTCAAGATTAGCATAGAAATAGGTCGAAGTGATACGCAAAAGAATATTGCAGCCAACACACTTTGTTATAATGCCATCAAAAATTTTGTGAGGCTTTTTTTGCACCTATGGTTATCTAAGAGGCTCCTTGATTAATAATAATGATGTTTCGGATACTGCCCAAATGATATTCTGCTTTTCCTTGATGGAATATTAAGATTTTGTATTTTCTCCTAAGCTTTTTGTTTTCCCAAAATAAAATGAAAGGAAAAGCTGATTAATTGTTTGTAACAACTCAAGATTAATTGGCAGCTTTACGCATTGGTTATGAAACCTACCAGTAGCTTTTAAGGTTGTAAAAAGTTGAAGTCAACATGAGGGTGGGGTAGGAGTGGGAAAAGGCAAGCATACTGTATTTTTTGGTCATGTTTATACTAATTTATACATAGTCATTTAAAGAATGAGTTTTGTAAATCCCAAATACCGGTAGCGTTTGTTAGCACCGTCAGTCACTGCCCAACGAGTGACCGACAGCTGCGCATCTTTCCAGTCAGAGCTGCTGAGCGTTTCGGGTCTCTTCTGTTTCCCATCACAGGGACTCAGAACCGTCAAACACCACAGCACCTCTTCTTCTGGAAAGAAAATCCTAAAAACTATCACTTGAAACTGTCAGTTTGAAACTGTGTACAGTGTAGATTCAGTTTTCACGGGATCTAATCTGTCAAGGCCTTACTTAGCTGTTTGAAATGTCTGTTTGACAGAGAAAGACTCTCAATGATAATAAACAAAGGAGGATGCGAGAGAAACTAGAACTTTTGGAAGCCAAGATAGAAGAACTAGAGACAGAAAATCAGGTGTTAAATAGGTAATAAACTTTGCTTTCTCTTAGCTTGAAAAATGGTATGTGCCCAAGATCTGACTCAACTGTGAAGTAGTTTTGAAGGTACACGACAATGGTTGAGTAACTGGAGTCCAGTCTATCGACATTTTCAGCCCTAGAATTCTTTGAATGGAGTCTACTTAGGAAGGGAGCTGAGAGCTTGTAAGAGAACCACAGGGCTGTCTCTTAGGAGGAAATAGAGGAAAACCACCTGATAGATGCAGTTGCAGGAGTCCCTTCAAAAGGTGAAATTGGAAAAGACTTTGGAATTGCGAGAGAAAGAGACTTAGCATCCTGAAAGACAAGCTCTTGCGGTTTTTTCTCTTCATTGAGCACCTATGGAGGGCTTGATTCAGATAATTAATTTAATGTGGCTCCTGTGGCTTACTACTGCGAAGGCTATTAAAAGCTTAATTTATTCCATGTAGTTTCTAATCTGTAATGCAGCAGGTAGCTTAATATGTAGAGGGACTTTCTGATCGACATTTAAGCGGAAAACTATGCACAGGTCTTTGACCTTCCAGTTCTTCTGGTATCTAGTTTTCCTCCAGAGAGGCACAGTAAATGGCCGAGCGCTTGTGGAAGGGTGTGCTGCTGGCTTGGGCTAAGAAAGATTTTTAAGCAATAAGAAGTCTCTTATTTCCTAGGCAGCATGTTTCCTACGAAGAACACACACGCCTCCAGAAGAGACTAAAGGACTTGCAACGTAGGCACAACGAATTCCGGAGTTTAATTCTGAATCCTAACATACCGCCGCTCTATCCAGTCGGCACGATGTCATCGTCTGCCTTGCCTCTGGGGCCTGCAGTGTCCTTCCCCCTTCTTCAGGTGGGAATGTAGTACAAGCTGTGAAAATAATGTGGCAAAAGAGGGAACTGGCACAGTCCTTCATTATAGACCTTAGTCTTAAGAAGGAGTATTTGATCTTTGAACAAAGAAAGGAAACTCGAACACCTCTAGTGATGTTCCGTTCCTCACACCAGGAAGGAGCTCTTGAAACAGAGGACGATCTGTTACAGAATGTACCAAACGGGCAGTTTTAACCCTTCTCCCAAGAGGCTTTTAAATGACTCCTTCTGGGCAAGAAATTCTCTCACCACAATGGTTTAATTACTAAAAAGTAGCATTGCTGCTCTTGATTTCTGGTGTGGGTAGAAGGGCTTTACTTACTCCCATGATCTTCCGAGGGTGCGAATCTCTCTGGCTGACGTTGACCGGACTGACTTTCCACATCCGTGGTAACTGAGACCTCAGCTCCTTGTGCCTCTTTGTCTGTGTCGAGGTTCAAGCTGACTGACCGGCAGGGAGAGACAAAGGAACCACGTTGTCACTCCGCTCCCCTACTGCAAGTGAGGAGGAGAGCCCAGAAGGAGCAGTAGGCAGAGCCTTGTGGGGTTGAGATAAAAACAGTTTGTTTTACTGCTGAAACATAAATGATAACAATAACAGTGAAATAACAGTAGTGTTTAACCAGATATAATGTGAGTAATGTGTAAGGCAGAACCCAGCGAGGAGCTCTCAGACGGAGAAGCGGAAAAGAGAGAGACCCCTGCCCAGCCAGCTCCCTCTGTATACCCCAAGCACGATGTCATGATGGTATCGAATAGCCCCTCGGCTAGTGGCTAGTTCGGTTCAGCTACCCTGGCTATGCCCAGTTCCTGGCCTCCTGTGAAAATTAACCCTATCCTAGCTGAACCCAGTACACGTGGTAACTGAGACTTCAGCTCTTCGTGCCTCTTTGTCTGCGAGTAGGAATGCCTGCACCCCGATTTCCTGCCGATACTGATCACTGCGAATGTCAGAAAAAACCCCACAAAACAATGAGGAGGGAAATGGAATGAATGAGGATATTCTGAACGTCACGATTTTTATTTTAAAATCCTTAAGCAAAATGAAATTATTACTGATTTTTGGTCCCTTGTAGGTGAGCAAAATGTATTAGAGCCACTTTTTTTTTTTATTTTATTTTTTTACATTTCAAGGAGGAACAGCATCAAAGAGAGCTTTCCCTGCTTCGCAAGCGATTGGAAGAACTAGAAACCACACAGAGGAAGCAGCTGCAAGATCTTGGACCATCTAGAGAGTGAGCAGCGGTGGGTGCACACAGGGGCTTGGCTGGAAACAAGAGCACCAAAGGAGACGACGCACAAAGCGAGAACTCCGAATAAAATCCTCAAGCTCCTCAAGCCCTTAGGTTGTGATAGCTTCTTCTCGGTACATGCTTTTAATATTTTGCCAAAACCATGCTTTTGTATGTGCCTGAATAGCATAGAATGTATTCTGCATAATTTGTATTTATTTTTGATAGACTGTCATAAGTTATCAAATCTAATGATTCAAAACAAAAGCACTGAAAGATTAACTACATTTCAAAATGCTTTTTATAGAAACTATGTAAAATTACATGGATGTCAAAACGTATGAAATAATTTCATCACACAAAACAGAAAAACAAGGATTGGGTTATGCTAACTTAAGATAAAATTTTTTTTTTTTAATAAATCCTTCAAAACTTATTTGATAATACCCTCTTACTCCTTTAGTGTCGAATCTACTGTACTGGTGCAGAGTTTTGCTGGGCTGCCCTTTTGATTGTTAGCAGTGCTCTGGTTCATGTTTGGGTTGTTATTTTTAAGTTCACCTGCAGACAGAGGATGAACTGAAATGGGAAAAGTACTGAAAACTTTTACTTGATACCCTTAGCAAGGTGCCTTTTGTGTTTTAATATAATATAGGAGAGATGAACTATAAGAAATTGCCTTCGCGTTATGAAAATGTAAGTTTGTATTTGTTGCTACTGTAATTTCCTTAACCACAAAAAAATTATTTATTTAAGGTTGAGTATATTTATTTCATTTTTTTTTTCATTACCTGCTTAGTAACGGAAACTTGTAAAAGATCAATTAATTTTTTTGACTTGCTAGCGGAAACTTTCCTGGAAGTGTAGGAATTATTTTATCTGGGTTGTTTGCTTGTTGGCTTGTTTTGAGTTGAGGTCTTCTGGCTTGGTTTTGTTTTGTCTCTTTCAAAGTATAAGACGTATAAGACAGTAAGATACACAGTCTCATTTCTTTTAATAGTACATCAGGATCATACTCCTCTTTCCTGGAGAATTTCTTAAGACTTCTCTGAGGAGAACGGTGTCACTGCTGGAGCTCACAGGAGCAGTTTCTGTTGTCTCCTGCAGGATGAGTTTGGCCTGAGCCATCGCTGTGG